ATTTTATAAATAAATATTTTTAATAATTATTTAAAAAAATTATAAATTAATAAAATTGTAGTTAAAATTAATAACATTAAAGTTCCTCAGTCAACGAGGCTGACGACAGAAATCTGCAGTAAATATCTTGCGGGCCCAATGAAATGATTCGATACGTCACAAAAAGGACTTGATAAGATTATGGTGCTGTCAGGTAATTTGTCACGGTCTAATTTAAAAAAAAAATGTGTAAAATGTCTGATGCCCGGGACCCACTGATGCACATCGTACAGATCATGAGTAAAAACTTTAATATGAACACCAATCTCACTTTACCCAAGAAAATCTCTTAAATTCCCAGGGATCATCTTGCTTTTCTTTTAGTTGTGTTAATTGATATCTCGCTATCACTCACGTCCATTAAAAATACTCTTTTATAATTTATAAGAATACAAAAAAATAATTTGATAAGAGTATGCTGTTTAACGATTTGAAATGTTTTTAAGGGATAAAATAGAGAGTTCAAAAAGCACACTGCATCAACAATGGATTCTGGTTCTAGGTTACGAAACGTTTTGAAATATTCTGGAACATTTTTACTAATTGTCTCTTTTATTGTTTGTATTAAAAATCAATCAGTTTTAGTACTTGTTAATAGTTCTGAAACTTTCCAAGCTTAAATTGCTTGATATGCTTTTAGGTCGGCCAAAACTTTTATGACTGGTTTCAGAACCTTATACTGGCAACTCCCAAAAACTTAAACGCACTTTTAACATTTCGGGACTTCCAGTCACTACTCATGAAGGTTAATTACAAACTTGCTTCCTCCTTGGTTGATTATCTCAACTCTCACTCTACTGCACCGCTTGTGTAAACCACGACCATGTTTTACTTGACAACATTTTTCTTTCCGTAAAATCTTTTACCGAGAAAAATTAATTTAAAACTTTTTTCATATATACGTAAGGTTAATAAATTTAAAATAAAAGGGTTTTGATTTGAGGAATTTTAAAGTAAAAGGATTTTTTTTTAATATCTTTTCCAAAAAGAAAAAATTGAGTTAATCCATGAAAGGAAGCTCTCTTAATCACCTTAGCTCACTCTTATGCTTATAAAGTTATAACTAAATCAAGAATTTTTTATTTTCATAGGAGATATATATATTTTTTAATTTTTAAGTTGTATAATAAGGTGTAAACTTTTTTATATTTTTACTCATCATACTCAAATACTTACAATTCAAACTCACAATCTCTTTTTTTACTTGAATGTGAAATTATTTAATTTATTAGCACTTCCACTTGAAATAATAGACACTTAAAATGTTGTTATTTTTAAATTTTGGTTTAAATAAAATAAGGAATCTTAATGCTATGTTTAATTTTAAA